TAAAACTGTCAACTTTTAAATTACAAGCTGACAATCTCAGAAACTAAATGCATTAAGCACCTACTGTTCATTCACAATGGAAAGCATCTTAATCAGAACTTCAGCTCATACTAGGAGTTGAAAGGACTGATTAACAATTATCACAGTACTACAGTTCAAACAGTGCCCTCACGTGTACACAAATGAGACGCAGTACTAAACAATTTCCATAGCGTAGTCTTTCCTTAATTCAGTGCCACTTTACAGCATTAAGAAATGTTTACAATAACAATTTGATTCACGAATCACACATGTTTATTAACTCTACTCGGTCAAAATAAATACAGTAGGATAAAATATGAACAGAACTGATGAATACCAATGGGATACAAAAGATTAAGTAGAAATTATATAGGATTAAAAGAGGTAGTTAATTTATCGGCTATATTATTAGTAGATGTTCTTTCTCTCATAGTTTTAATTTATTCCAAATAATTATCACAATATTCATCAACTTTAGGATTATTTACTTTAAACTGCTCGCCTGAAAAAGAGTCATGAGCCACTCAGTAAAAATTTATTCAGAACAACTTAACACCTCTCAGGCATGAATTTTGTCTTCCGATCCACAGTTTTTTAATTTATTTTTTACTATTATTACAGTCAAACCCGTTATAGTGAGCTCACGAATATAGCCCGTGCCTTGCTATGCACGTATAATGTTATTTCTTGTGGATATAGTGAATAAAAAAAAGTGAGGAAGTTGGATATTATGAACTTTTTTCTGCATTCAACTGATTTTTTTTCTATATTTTGTTGAAATAATTTTAAAATTTCTACTTTAAAATAAATACACATATCAATTTTTAAAACCATCTATAGAAAGGAATGTAGCAATAAGCATTTTTTCTAGTTCTTTAATCTGACTTTCCCATCCCTAAACGTAAAACATTCTCCTTTGAAGATAAAATGGGTATAATCAGAAAAATTTAAAGTGGATGCAATATTTGCAGGGATTATAAATTATTCAAATCTACAGCTTGTAACGTATGAAAAAATAGGCAATTAACAATTTCTGCTCATGAAAAAAAATTTAGATGGCAGGAAAAAGTTGAGAAAAGCAGATCACAAGGATGTTGAAGAACATTACTGAAGTGGTTCAGCATTCAAAGGAGCCGCAATCTTTCCAGGATTTTGGACAAATGCTTTAAGTCAAAGCTGACGAATTTGCTAAGAGATTCGGTGAGACTACTTTTATGTGCTCGAATTTCTGGTTAGACATGTTAAAAAAGTGGACTAAAATAAATTCAGAAAAAATTATCGCAGAGTCGAGAGGTGTTAACATATCTGATGTCGAGAATTGGAAAATAAATGTTTGGAATGATATCTCTTGTCACTATGAAGAGAAATACAAATTCAAAGCATAATTTATAAAGTGGCACCTAGCCAAACATTAAAATTTAAAAAAGAAATGTGCTACACACCGTCCTGGTATGTGCCAATATGAATGGAACCAAAGAAGCGCAAACTTTCAGTAATCGACAAATCTCAAAAGCCAAGATGCTTCAAAAATGTTAAAAACACTCCAGTTTCATATAAAGCCAATTGTAAAGCATGGATGACATCTGATCTATTTGAAGAAAAGATTCGGAAGTGGGATATAGAGAATGGGGAGTGAGATATAGAGAAAAATGTAGCTGTTGATAGATAACTGCACAGCACGGATGTTGAAAACCTGGAATGTATAAAGATTGTTTTCCTGCCACTAAACACAACATCTATAGTACAGCCCAAGGTTTGAGGTGTAATTCAAAGCCATTACCGAATTGTACTCGAGTTGTCATTACCGAAAACAGCTGATTTTAAGGGTTTCGGAAGGCTTTGAAAAAGATGTTGATTGTAATGTTTCTTTTCCTGATGCCATACTAATGCAAAAAAAAAACCTTGGTGACTTATTACAGAAACAAACATTCATAATTGTTTTTGTCGCGCTAGTTTGTCAAAAAGTGTAACTGAAGAAGATGATGATTTGCCTTTAGCAAAATGGATTTAAAAACATGGCATAGGAACATTTTTGGAGTTTGACAAGCTTTTCGAAACGTGCGATAATGATGTAGTTACATCTGAAGATTTCGCAGACGAGAACATTGTTGAGGAAATAAGGTTAAAAAATGGCGAAGTTAAAGATTGGTCATCTGATACAGATGAAGAAATTTAAAAAATGGAAAGCAACCTCCCTACCATGATAGATGCCAAAGCAGCAATTAAAGTACTCAACAAGTTCTTGTGTACACAAAATATAGAGTTGAAAGTGATGGAAACATTTCAGTTCTTCTGCAGAAGTATGGACAAATTTTTCCTTGAATCGGCTTCTTATCAGCTACAGATTACTCTTAATCAGCTCAGATTACTATTAATGCAAGACAGAGAGTAATAAAAAATAAAAGTTAAAATTTTTTTTGTTACTACTGATTATTTTCCAGTCATTTTTGTATTTNTTTTTTTTTTTCTGTCAATTATTTGAATAATGTGTAATAAAAGGGAGGAGTTTGGAACCATCAGTTAAAGCAGAACGGATAGACTGAACTCCTGGTTAGAGTGAACCGGAATTTCGGTCCCTTGAAGATTCACTATAGCAGGGTTTGACCATTATTATTTTTCTTCCTTTTTCATAGTATTTCTAACTTTTGTTACATTTCTGAGAATCCTGAAAAAAAGAACTACATTGCTAAAATGTGTGAAAACTAATCAAGATCAACTCAAAATCTATTGGGGGACAAAGATTGAGATTAATTGTGGACAAATAATAATGTGGTTTATAAGGGAATCATTAAGGTTTTATGTTGTCTGAATTAAATTGTGGGCTCCTTAGTCATTTTTGCTGTATAAGTTCTTTGTATTTATATCAACAGCTTTAATTTTATAGAGTAAATTTAATACTATTTAATTGCAACATAGCCACTATTATTCTAAGGTAAGTTGAACATTTTTCAAATGCTACAACTTCAGATTTATTAATATGATATATCAATCCTTCTGCCTAAATTTAAAAATCCATTGATAAATTTCAACCCATGAAATAGCATTTAAACAAAAAATATTGTAATAGATTTAGTGCAACAAAATAACTTTCTTAATTGCTTATCCAACACATTCTTTGATTTCTTACTTTTTCATTTTACAAACATGAAAATAGAAGCTTACTTGTTGGAAGTTAAATTAAAAATAGAATCAAAAACATTTCAATGAATTAGGGAAGAAAAAAATTATATGGAAGCATAAAGATGTTGTTTTTAAAACACTTTTCTATTGCTTTCGATGGACATATATTTTGGAAGCCGATTACATTATCTTACTTGCTTCCCCTAAGCAGAATAAAGTGTCTTACAATCGGACCCCTAATAGTTTTAAAAATGCTATTTAAAATGTTCTTCTAAACTGTTCAAATATTTTTGTAAGCAGATTTTTTTTGAGCATTTATGCAACAAACTTTGAATGATTACTTCTTGAAATAGAATCTACTATTAACTATAACATAAATAAAACAGTATGATCTGGTGTACTAAAGCCTGATGAAGTAAGCAGAGCGTGGAATATACAATTTTTTTTTGTTGCTTAATACAACAAAGTGAATAATGTTATCAGAATTTTTATTTAAGAAAAGCACAGTTCTTTTTAAGAAATGTAGGTAGAAAAAATGACATTTTTTCAATAAGAAATACTTCAGAAATAATAAATGATGCTTATAAATGCATTATCCACAATTAGCAGTTAAATCATTTTTAACAGATGTGTACACTTATAACTGTATATTTTGAATTCAATAAATTTATTATTCAGATGTAAAATTATACGCTTAGCGCATTGCAAAGAAATTAGGTATTATACATCGAATTCATAATAATTTCAAGGTCAGCACTTTTATCTTCTCTGTAACCAAGATTAAGTAGTTTACAGTGCTAGTTATAAATTCTTTTTACATAAAACGCACCCATTAGGTTTAAAATAAATCAATTCAACAATAATTAAAAATAATTTATAAGAACACAGTTAAAAAAATTAATTTCTTAATTAAGAATTTTTTTTTTATAATTTAAGAAAATTTGCTTTCATATTTTTACACGTAAAATTGATAAAAACTTGATAAAATGAGTTAATAACAATAAAATAAATAAATATAGAAAACAATACACAACTAAAACAAAAAGCTCATAAAAAGCAACAAGCAGTGCAAAGCAGGGATGCCATCTTTCTTCAATATGAATTTCTATCATAAAGATTCATCTAAAGTGAAATAAAGATACTTAATCAGATTCTGCCAAAATATTCCTCTAGAACCATACCACTTTCACTGATTTGTTCACACGTAACTATTTAAAGTCTAAAAAACACTCAAAAAATTATCAAACAAACATAACAATTATTATATTAACATAATATCAAATTTAATACTATGACATTTTAATTCCCTTTAACATTAAAATAATACTGTCAAAAACTCATTTAGAGCTTTAAAATAAAAATAATAAAACCAAGATAAAAAAAAAAGTTTCACCATAAGGGAATAAACAAAGAATTAAATAAAAAAATTACGACCAAAAAAAAGGACAGCAGAAATGAATTAAAACAGAAACTATTTCTTTGCCGGTTGACTGAAAATAATGCTATTAATTCCTTCTTTTTTTCCTACTTCATTTCCCATCCAAACAAAGAGAGGATGGTAATTCTTCAGAAAACAGGAAGTCAATCTTCTCTTCATTAACACTCATATTACACAACCATTATCAATTTCAAGGACGATTTCGTTCAATACCCATGGCAGGATCAACCCTTTGCAAAGTTTGAGCTGGTATTCCTCTCTCTAACCAAAAAGAGAACATTCAGCCACGACATATGTCTCACGTGATTTTGCTGCATTCACACGCTAGCAGTATTGTTGGCTGCCAGGATCAAAACAGATTGGCAAGCAAAGGCTTTAATAACTATTCCACCAAACTCATGGGCAATGCAGGAAAGAATCGAAATTTCCTTCCAGTTATGATTGCCAATAAAATATAAACATTACTGAAATAGTAGATACTATGAGAATAATTGTGGCAGTTTGAGGCTTTATAGGGTTAAAATAATAAATAAAACCACCTCTTGGAGTACTAATCCAGGAGTTCCCTTGTCTTCTGGATTGGGTTCAAAACGGCAAGGCTACGGAATTGAACATTGTTAGCCATAAACTCGAATTCTGTTCAAAGAGAGTTATAAAATAAAATAAAATTCAAAATTCTAGAATAACATTTTCAAGAAATCCTTGGAGATAGTTGGCATCCCTGCATTTGTTAAGAAAAACAAAATATAAAATTTGGCACTATTCTTTCTTTCGTTTCATCCTCGTATTTATTGTGAGTGCTATAAAATAAACTAAGATGATGAAAATGTGTCCACAAAAGTATATAGACTTCCAGAAGTAGAAGCAGCTTCTTATATCCAGAAGCAAGAATGCCATCCCCATGTAGGAGAAGGATTGCATCTTTATCACCCACCAGATCCAGTAGAACAGTGCCTGCTGAGAGTGCGACCCGTGACGCCTCACTGCTTTTTCAACCTCCATTTCCACAAAGAGGAAGAGTGGAGCACTACACAAGCACAGGTAGTAACCAGGATGCACGCCATGCCAAAATGAACTCACCAACATGGTAACAAATATCCTAAAAAAAATTATGGTTATATAGCAATTTTAAAACATAAATTTTTATATTTTGATTTCACTTAATTTTATTTGTTATATAGATAATCCAAAAAAAATTGCATTTACATTGTGCAAATTAATAAATTCATATGAATATAAATTTAGAACTTAAATATTAAGACAAGTACTAAGTTTTATACTCATTTTAATGTGTTACGATGCGTACCATAATTGCTCAACAGTTATCAAGATGATAATGATTATGACACAATTATAGAACTAAGAATGAATTTTTTGTTTTGATGTAATAATATTGTAACTACAAATTAAATATATATTGCAACACATTAACATAAATTCCGTACTAAAATATTAAGTACGAAGTTTTGTATAGATTGTAATGTGTTTTGGTATGTGCACCATAAGTTGCTCAAAAGATATTGAAACAATAATGTATCTCCTTCCATGTTTTGTGAAGCATCTCTAGAATTCTGATTAAGTTGCAACCTTGATCTCGATTTATCGGGAGTCCATATCAATAATTGTTTCACTTATACACAATGTTCTAAATGTATTCATTAAAAAAAAAAAACATTTATAAGAGTTCAGTGGGGTAAGATCAAAACTTTATGGAGGCCAGCTCATCTAATCCATGAGTTAGGAAATACTTTGTGGTACTTTTCCATTTTAACGGAGCAAATTTTGCCAAGCATAGATTATTGGCAACAACACAAAATATACAAAAAAAAAAAATTATAATTTAATAAATGTTAGTTTACAAATTTGTTTACTTTGGTGGCATAAACATTTTAATATCGCTTAAAATTTTTTTCAAATGGGTATTCTGTTCTTTTGCTCCGTATAAATTCCGCAAAAAAAAACTTTCCAGATGATGACATGCCATTCCTTTGTGTTTCTTTTTCTGAAATTTAGCACTACCCCTTAATGTTTATATTTTTCACTTGTTCATTTCTGTTTCCAGATCAAAAAATTTATTGTGGTTTAATTTGAAATGCTCGAAATTTTCCTTTCATGATTATTATTACATTTCAGGCAAAATGCCTTTTGTTTGAAAGAATCTGACAGATTCATCCTCTGTCTTGGGCAAAGCCCAAATTTTCATTGATTTTTCATCCATTTTTAATGTAATCGAACAACTGATAAAAAATAGCCACGATTTGTTTTGAAACTGTGGTGGTAAACATGGAATATTCCATTTAGTGTATGCTGTATCATTTTTGGCAACTTTATACCCTGCGCCAGCGAAATGAAAAAGTACCTATTTAGTTTAAGTCTTCACACACTGACAGAGAAAAATGAAGAGCTTTACATTAAACTTCCAGCTATAACTAGTAAATAATCAATTTGTAGTAAAATTTAATTTTGCGGCAAATATTTATAAATGCTATTGGTCGTATTTTGTAGCATGGCCTACATTTCAAGGTGCACGCCTTTAGGCTAGAAAATTAATTGAAGGGGAGAAAATTGTAACTGCAATACTAGGATGGACAAGCAATATTGCTTTGTAATGTTCATTTACAATGTTTCAACATAAAAATTCTGTGATGAAAAATTAATTAACAAAATCCCTGCATTCTCTTTTTTTTGATGACCATGCATTATTTCCAATTGTAACAAAAAATAAACTAATTTTATACAAATTTAAACACTTACTTAGCAGGTTTGGATAAATTTATGCGTTTATAGACAAAGAATGCCAGCCAGTACTGAACAGTTCGATTCCATGATCTTATTCCTTCTCTAATAGTAGGCCAGAACTCACTGCCATATTCATATATGTTATTCACAGTGTCAAATGAGTACTCTACCACTGATAGATTTTTCTTCTCTCTAGAATTAAATTTAAAAAAAATATTATTCATTTTTCTAAAAATGTCACTTAAAATTCAAAAAGTTTCATAAAATTTCTAAACTTTACTTCTTTCTAAAATTAGGGACGTAACAAATATTTGGCCACAATTCGGTATTTGGTCCTTTTGCTGAATATTTAGTAGACAAAATATTCGGCAAAGTATTATTTGCAAAATTATTTTTAGCATTGAAGTTATTTGTTTTTCATACTTTAGTTTTTTTTAATCTTAAATATTTATAATTATCTTAACATCTAATTATCTTTACTATCTTAAGCATTTCCATTAAAGTTTTCTTCCCTTTACCCCATACGAATAATACAGCTAAAATTTGATTATTTTTCAATAATTATTTGATGACAAGAAAAATGTTGCTATTCGACCACAGAATATTCAGAATTCGGCTGATTTTCTTTGGCCCAATATTTGGTGTTTGGCCAAATCACTTTTCGTTACATTCCTATTTAAAAAATACATAACATGTAAAGAATTTTTTAAAAAAAGGCCTCATTTTTGAAATTTAAAATATAATTCTTAGAATAAAAATTATCCCTACATTTTTAGATTTTTATTTCCATTAATATTACATACAAGTAAACTTAAATTTTCTTCTTCTCAAATCCACCGATAAAATGTAGTAATTTAAGACAGAAATAATAACTAGTTCGAGAAATTTTACTCGCAAACTAACTATAGGGAAATTTCTAAAACTAGTTTTCTTTTGCCTAAAATACAAAATAAAATGAAAAAATATTAAAAAAAAAAACTTACTTTTAAATTATAATATTATAAATTATAATACATTTAAAATGTAAGAGTTAAAGTTTAATGACAGTTTAAAGAAACTTTATTCATTATGTGGAACTTTAAATAAAAGTAAATGTAATCATGTTATTGATACTAAGGGAAAATACCAGTTTCGGAAACATTTCTTAACCCTTTAAAAAAAAAAAAAAGTCAGATCCGCATTTGCGTTGAAATTTGCTTGTTAATGAAGACTAGTGGAGACTCCAAACAGATCTTTGAAACCACAAGCCATTCAAGATAGTTAAAAGAGTATGATTTCTTTGAAAGTAGATGGAGAATTCAATTAAGAAAAAAAAATCTAATATCTTGTTTACTTATTTCAGGGGTACATTACATCACTGGAAAGATTGGTTATTAACTTATTTCTCCTTATATCATATCATTTTATAATTAACATATAAGGCACTAACAAACTAAACTTAACAGTCAAAAACAAAATGAAACTTAACAGTCATGAATAACAATTAGTGCTTCCCAATAATTATGAAAAAAAAAATATTTACTAAAAAACATTATTTCATTTGAAGACACAGATTTTGAATAACATAATTTCAGCATAACACTTATAACAGTCTTAACACTTTGTTGCAGAATTTTTATTAAGCATATTTTTTCATTATTTTGCATTAGTTTAGTTCAAAATAAGTCACAATATTACATTTAGCATTTTAATAACTTATGGTTATGAAATATAGCATGAAACACTGATTTTTGTTGTTGCTTTAAATACTTCCTAACTTGGCTATACTTCCAAACAGTAATTTAGATCTAAGAGAAACAGTCATTCATCGTTGAAATTTCTTTAATTTACCAAATCTATTATTTATGCATGTTTGAATTTTAATGGAAAAAACTCCTTTTGTGTTATATATTTTATAGTACAAACGTAATTCCGATAATCATACAGAATTTTCTTGATTAACTATTAGACTATTTTTTATAATTNTGGAAAAAACTCCTTTTGTGTTATATATTTTATAGTACAAACGTAATTCCGATAATCATACAGAATTTTCTTGATTAACTATAAGATTATTTTTTATAATTGAAAATACCAAAATATAGTTTTGCATGTAATTAGAGCATCACAAAAAAATATATATATATATATATATAAAAGGAACACTGGTGTCACCTCTGCATCAAAGGGTTAAGAACTGGCCCTTACTGAAACAAACTGAATGGAGACAATTTAATTTGTCTTAGAATATTTAGATTATAATACTAACATTTCTTCAAGAGCAGTAAAGTTGGTAGGACCAGCTCCAGGCTGTGGATTACTCGATTTTGGATAAGCACCTAATCCCATGGCAATGCACACACATTCTCCAAGGATAAAACCTGCATAGATTCTCATACGGAAGTTGAAGAATGAAGGTGTGATGTAGAACACTCTGTACCAGAAAGATTTTTCCAATATGTCAGGTGTAGTAACATACTGAAACAAAATGTATCACATTTATTTCAATTACTTAAAAAAAAAGTCATAGATTATTAAATTCAAACCGTGGATTGTTTTTAATACAGTATACTCTTGATATCTCAAAGTTGAAGGGATGATAAAAAAAAATTTGAGATACTTAAGACTTACTAATACTTAAAAAGTTTTTGAGAAAACACATTTAGAACCAAATATGTTTCAAAGAGTAATATATACATATAGAATGTGTATTCTAAGAAGTAGAATCATGTAACATCAAAATAAGTACAAATAAATATGTTTGTATAACAGTTGACAATAAGTTTGAATACAGCAATGATAATTTTATTTTTAAAAGCGACACAAAAATAATTATGCATTAAATAGACAAGAACTGCTTTACAATAAACTTATATTAATAGAGTTTTTAAAAAAGTTTTAAAAAAAACTCAACCAGGGTGGCCTGTCGACATATTTTTCAAGTTGCTCATCAATAAATTTTTCTATTGGAAAAATAGCTACCAAGTCAGCGCTTTACATGTTCTCGAAACATTTCATGAAACGTTTTAATATGTAGGCAGTATTTTTTCATCAGGACGCAATAATGTTGAGTGCTGGTACATGGTGATTTTTCCGAAAAAAAAAATCCATATTTTACTTCAAAAAGTATTTGAAATAACAAGGTTTTGAGACGAAACACTTCGACATAGGAATTCAAATTACATTAGGTTGATATATTTTTTTACAAGGTTTTTAAGATAGCCAAGCTCGAAATATTAAGAGCATACTTATTAGCAATAAAATTACCGTCAACAGCCTGGTAGCAGAAATCTCCCAGCATGACAGAGGCTGCTGATTATCAGAGCATTTGAAGATTATTTTTCATTTCAGATTTTTTTAAAAATTATCTCAGCAACTAAGGATCATTTTTCGTCACAGATTTTAAAAAAACAAGCAATAATCATAATAAAGAGGAGAAATAGAAAAATAATTTTTAATTCTTAAAACTAGCCCAATTACTGTTTGCTCCAGGTGCTTTATAAAAACTTATGCTTTTGACGCCTGCAAATATGAAATTCCTAAATCTCGGAAAGGCCCGATAATAAATATAGTTTTTCAGGGTGCTTAGCCAAATTATTCAACAAAAAATAAGCGTCTTTTAAGCACTTTTCAATCACTCAAAAAATATTTTCAAGCACTTTAAAATATATCATAATTGGGCATATTTGGAAAGTTTTTGACAATTGACGGTTTTATCTTCATGTCAAAAACAAAACAAAACATTTTGACAGTGTTTTGAATTATTCTTTTGAATTGGAATTGTTTTGAAATTTTGAACCATGTAAAACGAATGACGTTTTCATACGCTACGGATTGACAATACGCCAAAATAGATTTGCTGGCAGAGTTTAGTGCGTTGTGGAAAATGCCCAGCAAGCATAATGAAAAAGTCATCTTTTAACTAATCATAAATTTTATTAGCAAGTAAAAATCATAACTTAACTTAAGCATCATAAAGGAGAAACAATCCTCTCCATAACATGAATTCAATACATACAGTCTTGAAAATCAAAAGAAACAAAAACTCTCCAAATCCAATCTTGATTTGTCATATATATACAAAGTAACACTTGCATAATGAGGGTACTTACACACTCAAAATTAATACTATGCAAATTCTGTCTTTGAATTATTTTTAAATGTTCGAACTCCCTCCTTCAGAGGTTTTTCGAACTCGTGATCTCTGACTCTTACTCGAACCTTGTTCGTTGAAATCCATAGTCTGACAAGATTGGGGTTGAATTAATTGTGAAATCGTTGAATAGAACAATGTGAACTATGTCCTTTTGCATAATTCGAAGCGAAAATTAAGATGGTAAAGGGAAAATCTCATATTGAAAAGGAAAAATTAAGCACTTTTTAAAATCACCCAATGAAAAAAAGCACCTTTAAGCACTTTTTAAAATTTTTTTATCAGTTCAATGAATATAATCATTAAAGTTGAATAAAATTTTAACCAAGTCTACATGTAAAAAATATATTTCTTTCAACAACAAAAAATAAATAAAAACATATAATTAATGAAAACATATAAATAGTAAAAAAGTAAACTTACTTCAAGTGGATAAAGATATGTCCCTATGAGATAAAGTAAAACATACAATGGTACGATTTGAATCCTCTGTTTAACATATCTATTTGCTGCAACCTGAGTGCTATAAGGAAGGTACAACATATCCCAGTATGTTCTGAATTTATAGTAAGGCCCTGTAAAAACATAAAGCTCATCAATGATATGCATTTAAAAAAAAAAGGAATACTTAAATTTAATTTATAAAAATAATAAAAAACAGAGAAAAAATTCAAGTGTAGAATTGCAGATGCAACTGACATTAAAATAGACTTATTTATTTCTATTTAACTTTTCAAAAAAAAAAAAAAAACACAGTCTAACTTAAATCCATCATTTCAGTGTTTTTTGTTTTCCTGTAGACACTGTCACGCTTTGATCAAAACAGCCATTAATAATGCTGGTTTAAATTGTCTTAAAAACTAGCAGAAGCTATCTCTTTTTGAGAGGAACTGATGATGAAGAAGAAAATGAGGTTTCATTACAATGTTGATATATTTGATGGTTGCTTAAGAAACGATTAAATAAGCTGAAAAAAAATGCAAAATATCTATAAAGAAGATAAAACAGAAACACAACTAGGGGTAACAATTGCAGAAGACCTCAAAGCCTTTGCAATAATGAAGAATTTTCAATATTCATGTGAACTTTCAGAAAAATAAATGCTATCTGTTACAAATCTATTGTTTGCACTGAGAAAAAAAAGAGGGTGGGTTCGAACCAAAATTTTCAAAGATTTTAGACAAATGCATTTATGTTTTTATTGCAAAATAAATATATTGCAGCTAAAGCATAACTTTTTTAATTAAAGTTTTTTTTATCATCGGTAATTTATTTCAATTTTCAAGCTTATAACTTCATTCTTAATCTTGTATTACTGTTTGATATTTTATATTGACTTGCATTCGTTTATTTTTCCATATATCGCTCGTAATGAATGATTCCATGAGAAACGATCAGGGTTTCACTGTATAAATTGAAAAAAATAATTGCTTCTCAATTTCAGCACTTGGTCCAAATTTTATTTAAGACAGCAAAAAAAAAAGTGACAAAAAAAACGCATCTCATTTTAATATTTAGAATAAAAGTGTAAGTTCAAAACATTTCATAAATCAACTTAGGGTCACCTATCCAAACAAATTAATCAAACTTGAACTTTCACAATAAAAATAATGCATGTGGTTTTAATTTATTCTAATAAATAATACCAACCAAAAGCTATAAGTTAACAAGGGGTCGGAAAAACTGCATAATTTTTGTAGTTTACAACAACTACTTCATTACAAATATAGTTAACCATAACTACATCTTTTTTTAAATGTAGTGATTACAAACTACTTTCAAAATGTAGAAACTATCTCAACTGCTAAATAACTACTATGAAACCACGTAATTTACACCTATAATCAAAATGATTTTGTGTAAAAAAATTGGCTTATACAAAACATGAGGAATTAGTAAGAAATATTTATTCATGTTTCATGAACCAGTTTGTTAGTCTAAAACAATCTATATTTTTTTCAAATTCGCTCATTTAACCTTCAACTCTTTTTGTCTTTATTAACAGCGAATATTTAATTTAAGAAATGCAAGGAAATTATTAAAAAAATTACAATTTGTTTTCATTTTCTCTAAGAGATTATGAAAATTGAAAATATGTTTCCTTCCAGTGAAATAGTTAAGCAGTTTTAAGTAGATTTTGCACAAAGTGTACCAAATTGTGAATATAGAGTGACCTAAAAAACCTTGGACTATTATTGTTTAATATGTTTTTACAAAACAAAAGAAAATAATTTCATGCAATTATACATCAATATCTTTGCTTTGTCTATCTATGCATCAATATCTTATCCTTGCTTTGCAATAGAGCTTTGAAATTCAAGGATTCTATGCAAACAGTGCTCTTTGCAATATTCATTGATCATATTTTATATAAGCCAATATCTAAAAACAAATGCAAAATGCAAATGCAAAATTGTCAAATTTCTTGCAGTGTACTCTATAAAAAAAAGTCGATAAAATTATTAAAATTTCATTCTTTTTTTCTATTTAAAATCAAAATATTCACAAAATTCCAAACTAACCAAATGCTTTTCTAGTTTAAATTAGTTAATTTTTTTTAAAACTAGAAACCTGTACTGGTACAGGTTTCAACTAAAAAACTTTGTTTTCATTCTTCTTAATAAACACTTAAAAAATTAATATTTTTTATATTATAGATTTTTATATCACTTAACATGTTTCCCATACATTCCTTAGTTTTTTGCTAGCTTTGAGGGTCATTCAACAATTGCAAACTTTCAAAATTGCGATTAACTGGACAATTCAAATTTTGAATCAAAAATCAATTATATACCAGCAAAACAATAAAATTTAATGTTATCAGTATATAGTTGGAGCTTAAAAGAACCTTTTTATTAATTAAGTTAGGTTCTAAAAGGTTCAAAAGAAATTAAAAAAATTAGCAATGATGCAAGAATTATAATGATTGGTCTGCAAACATTGCTGTTAGCAATTGTATGAAGATGCGTGATTGATTGGCTTGGTAAAGAAAAAATAATTCAAGGATTTCATTGGATGGGAATACAGAATCTTTCAGAAAATGAGTGTGAAATAAAATTGATAGTTATAAAATTATGACCAAATAATTTTTAGGAACTTTATGAAATTAAAAATACTAAAACAATTTTAATCATTTTGTCAAAAGAAAGAGAAATGCTCACAAAGCATAGGATAGAACTTGAACAATAAATAGATTTGGTTCATAAACTAGAAGACAAAAAAGATTATCCCCTGCTTTCATAATCAGGAGCAAATACCCTAACCCCTGTTTCACCCCCCCCCTAACACATTCTTTGCCTAAATGAATAGTCTCTAAATAGTCACCATGGAAGAGTTTCACAAGGTGTTCTGATCTAGTTTAACAGGGTTATAATAGAGCAAGCTTCAATGACAAATTATTGCCAAGTTGGTGACAATTCAATCGTTTGACGATAAATTTTGGTCTACAAAAAAGTGGGTATAATGGATGGTGAAATAATAGTAAATTTGAGAAAATCAAGAAAAAATAATCCAGTTTCTCTTTAAAATTCTTTGATTTTTTCAGGTTTTAATTTAAATTTCCCTGACTCTTCCAGGCAGTGGCGTATCTAGGGTATGGCAAGTATGGCGAATGCCATGGGCGCATTATTTCAAAAAGGCGCAAAATCAATCAACATCAACGATTATTTTTTTAATTAAAAATTTCACCAATTTTTTTTTCTTCAAGTTATGGCAGAATTAAAAAAAGCATCCAACATTTAACCTTTCCACGAGGGCTCGAAAAGAAGACATCGAGGTCTTTCGAGGAACTCTTTTTATAACTGGAGGAGTGAAATATGAAAGGGAACCGCTAATAATAAAAACAAAGTAGGTGACGAGCGTTAAACAATTTTAACCTCCCACTGTTTTTCATTTTTTTAATAACTTCGTTTGTAAACTCATAGACCACCTCAGTTAGGGATAATAGGAGGGCCAAGGTTTCCAGCGCTTTTACATAACTCGAAAAGTGCGGGGAAAAAAATGGGGGAAATAAGAAAAAAAAACATTCCACACCCCCTCTTTTTATGCTTTTTGATAAGTA